GAACAGAGTTTATTGTTTATGTTGTTACTTGTTTGGAGATATTGTGGGGCAACAAGGGGGGGAGATATGTATTTGTGATGGGTGGCTTTGATACTTGGAGTAAAAAGAAATCATTGAAAGATCATGAAGGTAAAGTTGATAGTCATCACAACAAAGCAAAACAAAAATGTGAAAATCTAGTAAAAAAATCAATCTATTAATGAAGCTTTTCATAAGCAAACTGAAGTTGAAGCAAGTAACTATCAAATTCGATTACGTGCTACAATTGATACTTGTAGATTTTTATTGAAGAATGTGTTACCATTTCGTGGTCATGACGAGTCGGATGGGTCAATTTCTAAAGGCCATTTCATTGAAGAATTATCATTCCTTCGGGACCATAATGAAAGTATTTATAAGGTTACTTTAGAAAATGCTCCAAAAAATGAAAAGTTGACGTCTCCAAAGATTCAAAAAGAGATTGTTCAATGCTTTTCAAAAGAGATAATAAAGTTCATTTGTGAAGAAATTGGTAATGATGTGTTTACTATATTAGTAGACGAGTCTAGTGATGTATCCAAAAACGAACAAATGGTTATGGTTTTGCGATATGCTAATAGCCTTGGATTAGTGAAAGAAAGATTTGTTGGCATTGTTCACGTGAAGGATACAAGTTCTTTAACTCTAAAAGAAGCCATTGATTCGGTATTTACCAAAAATAGCTTGAGTATATCTCAAGTAAGAAATTATGAATTTTTTTTGTTTATGTATTTGAATCTTTATCTATTTTATATATATATATATATATATATATATATATATATATATATATATATATATATATTGATATAGATAAGAGGGCAAGGATACGATGGATCAAGTAATATGCGAGGTGCATTTAATGGTTTGAAAACATTGATATTGAAAGATAATCATTCGGCATATTATATACACTGTTTTGCACACCAACTTCAATTAGTGGTTATGACTGTAGCAAAAAACCACGATGGTGCTTATGATTTCTTTGAGCAATTAGCTTTGGTGGTTAATTTGGTGTGTGCTTCTTGTAAAAGAAAAGATATAATACAAGATAGTTACTAGGAAAGGGTTCTAAAAGAAATTGGTAATGGTGAAATTGAGACCGGAAAAAGGTTAAATCAGGAGAATTCTCTTGTTCGAGCTGGGGATACAAGATGGAGCTCACATTATAAAACAATAATAAGTTTGAAGAATTTGTTTCCGGAGGTTATCAAGGTTCTTAAATATGTTGAAGAGGATGGGTCTAGTTTAAATAACCAAAATCAAGCATACGGTATTTTGTCGTATTTTAAGACTGTTGAGTTTGTGTTTTATTTACACTTGATGTTGGAGATTTTTGGTCTCACGAATACCTTGTCAAAACATCTTCAAAGAAAGGATCAAAATATTTTGGAAGCGACTTCTTTGGTAAATGTGACCATGAAAACATTCACAGCTTTTAGAAATAATAGGTTTCCTTCAATGTTGGAGAAGGTATTTTCCTTTTTTCATAAACATAAAATTAAAATTATGGAAATGTCTGAATTTTATGTTACTCCAAGAAACCGTAGGACCAAAGTTATTAATCAACATCACTTTGAAGTTGATATTTTCAACACGGTTTTGGATATGCAAATTCAAGAATTTGGGGACCGTTTTAGTGAAGTGAGCACCGATTTGCTTGAATACATGGTGGCTTTGAGTCCTTGTAATGCTTTTTCTATGTATGACAAATCAAAGTTGGTGAAGTTAAGCGAGTTCTACAAAACTAATTTTAATGATTCGGAAATGGTGTATCTTGATGGTCAACTTGAAACCTATTGTCACTCTTTGATTGATGATGAGAGATTTTCTAATTTAAAGGGAATTGCGGACCTTTCTCGTTTGATGGTGGAAATCGGGAAACATCTTTCTTTTCCTTTGGTTTATCGGTTATTAAAGTTGACTTTGGTTTTGTCTGTCGCAACCGCAACCGTTGAAAGATGTTTTTATGCAATGAAACTTTTGAAGACCGACTTACGTAACAAAATGGGTGATGATTTTTTGAATAATGCTTTAATTTGAAGGGAATTGCGGACCTTTCTCGTTTGATGGTAGAAATCGGGAAACATCTTTCTTTTCCTTTGGTTTATCGGTTATTAAAGTTGACTTTGGTTTTGTCTGTCGCAACCGCAACCGTTGAAAGATGTTTTTCTGCAATGAAACTTTTGAAGACCGACTTATGTAACAAAATGGGTGATGATTTTTTGAATGATGCTTTAATTTGTAGTGTAGAAAAAGAAGCACTTATGGATATTAAGATCGAACGAGTGATAGAGCGTTTTCGGAAAATGGATAATCGTAGAGGACAACTTTAAAAAATGTAATTATGTAAGATTTTTGCGGTAGTTTGTTATTTCTAATAAAACCATAATTATATATATATATATATATATATATATATATATATATATATATATATATATATATATATCTTAGTATCTTTTATCGGGATTTTTTTGTGCTACCCCTTGCAAAAAAATTTGGTTCGGCCACTAAGCTTGGTTAGACTGAACTCGTTTGCACCCCTAAAAAAAGTAAGGTTAGAAGCATAAGGTGAAAGCATTTCTAAAGAATAAGCTAAATTAAAAACATGATGATAAGCTAAACTAGAAACATGCGGTGTAATCATGAAACTTTACTTTTGTAAACATAACGAACAACGAAAGTACTGCACACAAGCTACCTGCGAATAGACTGTGAAGTGAATCTTTATTTTCATGCCAAAGTTATAAACACTCCAAAAAGATTAATAATATGAACTGAGATTAACAAGAAGCTTAGAATTTATTATATACAAATTGTCATGTTTATTTATTCAAAATTATGTTACAATTATATAGTGAAGACGTAGTGTATGCCATATTATGATACCAACATGCGTATTACACATGATTAATGAAATTTATATGCATGTTAAGTATGCCCTTTAACATCCAACATAGGGGATATTGAATGAATGGACGTCTTGTAAAGGGACCTTATAGGACAATCGTATGTGGATCCCCTGTGGTTAGCTAATGATGTGACATAGATCTGGAACACCTCTTCTCTTCTCTTGATGACGGTTATGGCGAAGAGATCTGCTAGTCACAATCAAAGAGATGCGTTAGAACCGTCCCAGGGACTGTGCTCTGAGAACAGGCTCCGACGATCAAGTTCGATCAGTTAGATCTAGGGATGAACAGTTTTTCCCAAATCTCAATCCCGTACCGGTACCGAACCGTACTGAATTTAAAAATATGGGACGGTACTTGGTACTCCAAACACACAAAATTCGGGATTCGGTACCGTCGGTACCGGTACTAGTACCGAAAACCGGTACCATTCCCGGTACTGGTACCGGTGATTTTAATTCGATTCGGTACTCGGGATTAACTTTTGATCGAATTCAGTTTTCGGAAAATCGGGAACGGTACGGGTTGGTACCGGTTCCATCCCACGCTCATCCCTAGTTAGATCAGCTGGTAGATCTGAGATGGTTCTCCTTAGCTGGAAAGAACCATCTTGATGTTGGTGGCGGTGTATGGTGACTCACAGTATAGTGTGGCGGCAGAGCCCTGGGGGAATGTATGGGTGGCGGTTGAGCCCATGGTTGAAGTCCACCTTCATGAAGGAGACACTGTTCTATTTATAGTGGATAATTAGCTCAAGAGGAATTAGGTCAGGCCTTGGGCCAGCCCAATTCAAGCCCAGCTAGCGAGGAGTTGGGTAAGGCCATCCAAAGGCGTTGGGCAAGGTTGGCGGGCACGCCTCAAGAAAGGCCGACAAATGAGCGTCAGGCAATGGTGCGTCAGGTCGGGCTGACAGGAAAGTCCCCAGCAAGGCTGGGGTGCCAGAGATGTCTAGACCATGCTAATTGACCATATATCATTAGCTAACTTCCTAGATGTTTAGCCTACTTACATGTAGTTATAAAATTTCAAAAGAATGTTTTTATGCCCGAAAGATGTCCACAAGAAAGAATGCATTAATTGTTATTGATGCATTAGATTTGATTAAACATTTATGTTAAATCATAAAACCATAACTAGCAACTAAGCTTAAAGCTTACCTATTCCATATATGTATCTCAGGAGAGTATAGTTAGTACTTTATTCGATAATTTTGTTTTGGTATAAAAACCGTTGTGATAGTATTTTACACATTTCCACTTAAGGTAATATTGTTGTATAGAACTATGATGAAATAAAAGAAATCTCAAGCAGTTAAGCTATAAAACTTTCTAATCACTAATACTGAAGATAGATGAAGGCACCCGTAGAATCAAAAATTCATGAAGTCTGCGGACCACCTCTGCAACCCTCTGCAATAGAAGAGGTGGACCAAACGACTGCAGACTATAATAAGAAGTGTGTTTGTTTTTTTAACATCTACATACTGCTGCAGATATTAAAAAATTAAAATAAACTAATTTTATAAACCGAAAATAACTTTTTAATACGTAAAATTTAATAATGTATAACATTTCGGTAAAAATTAATGATATTTCAGTAAAAAAGAATGATATTTCAACAAAAAATAAATATATTTTCAGTAAAAAATAATGATATTTCATCAAGAAATTATCATTATTGAATATAAAAAAAATGAAAAATAAATTCAATAAGAATAAACGAAAAAAAAGGGGAAAAAATGTGAAATAAAATATTAATAACATATAATCAAAATTTCAACAATAAAAAAAGAAGAAGAAGAGGTTGGAAGAAGCAGTACAAGTGTTGCGCCAAACAGAGCACGCGCAGAGGTTTTTGACTCAGAAGACTTCTAAAAAACAAACAGCTGCGAGATGAAAAGTGTTGCGCGTGTGCCGCGCCGCAGCAGTAAGAGGTTTGAAGAGGTTTTTTTTCCAACAAACAAACGGCAGCTAAGTTGTCAAGTTATTTTGAATCAACGTGTCACAACTAACAAACACTTCTAACAAACAATGTTTTTTTTGTATTGAAACGCAAATCCAAATACACCCTAGGTATACGGTATACCGGTTGCCTTGATGATTTGGCATGTACATGTCATCCTACATGGCAAAAAAAAAAAAGAAAAAAAAAATACAACATCATCTTGTTCATGGTATCCTTAGCAATTTTTAACGTCTTTGATGTTTTGCATTCTATAGTTTATTACTAATATACATACAAAGGGATGTGAGTCATTCTCTTCACTTTTACACAAATCAAAAATCCAAGTCATAAGATTTCCCACTTCTTTTACGATGCTTCTTGTCTTTCCCTTTACTTTTACTCCCTCGTGATGATTTACTTTCACTACTACTCGTCCCCTTCTTTTTACCATGCTGCTTACGTGGCCTACTTATTACTGTATCCGATGGCAAAGAGGGAACCGGATCATACACATCCGGGGCCCACTTCACGCTCAACTTCTTGGGTGGATCCACTCCACGTTTCTCACGGCTGCCTTTCATGGCAGATACAGGCTTCAAATCCTTCTGTAACAGTTTACACCATTTTCAACATGTGATAAAATTAATATCTAAAATATAAATGAGTTTTTTAAGTTGATACTTACAGGAGGAAATGGAGTATTTGAACTTGAAACTCCTTGTATGTCGATGTCATCTTGGATATTCAGAAACTTAGTTGCTCCAAATGCAAGTTCATCCACAGAAAAACCACCCGCAAGTCCATATGTGGACTCAAAGGTTGGATCCAAACAGAATCCATGAATGCTGCTACTAACATCATTAACTGGGAAACTGATGTGAGAACAAACGTCCATTTGTATCAACAGGGAACTCAACTGCAAAAAACAAATCTAATTATTCTCAATCTATGGTAAAACAGGCTTTGATGCAAGCTCATAGGGCGTTATGATAGTAGCAGATTGTAGATCTTCAAGTCACAACTTTACTAAAATACTTTGAATCAACTGGTATAATATTTACAGAAACAATTTCAGTATAGTGATTTGATCTTTAATGAAGCTCACTTGAGTTAACGATGTTGCCGGACACAGACAAATTGACTTAAAAAAAACAATTTAATGGCGATCGTAGTACAACGAGCTCAAAAGTCAAATAAACAAAAAGGAAAAGTTGCATAATGGAATACCATCATAACTTTCGTAATCCAATTCATGAACAATGAATAGGAAGTAACAATATAAAAAAGAGTAGATCTATCATCTATGATGTGTGCAATAATAATGTTACCTTTTCTGTCAAATCAGCAAAACTCTGCGCAACCGTGAAGATGTCAAATGGAGGTCTCCGATTAACAAATAGAGTTGATTCGCCGCGAAATAACAGAAGTATGATGAGAACGATGAAAAACGCTAGAGATAAAAACGCAAACAGAAGAAGAAATCGAGGAGACTAACTAACTGATTCTGATTTTATGCTAGAGGATGATTGTTAGCTAAGAGCCTAAGATTACCACGACGATTACTTTTATCAAGCCGATGTTTCAAACGATGCGAACACGAAGAACCGCCAAATAGCCGGGTAAGTAATTCGAGTGAAGGCACCGGATGCATTGTCCGATGCTCTTCGAACCTTAATTTCCTCAAAAATCAATCACTATTCACTAAACCCTAAATATAATTGATTCAATCGCAGATTCGAATTGAACCGAAGATGATCAAACAAATTCAAACGGATATGAGACACGTGATTGTTAATCGACTGAAGATCATAGGAACTGCTTACATATAGTGAGGATCGAGATTCGATTATCGGAATCGAAGAACGTGACTATGAAATCGAAAGAAACCGGTAATGGTGAATGACCTTTATCTAAATTTAGAAAAAGGCAGATACTTTGTGTGCATATAAATGAAGAATGGATAGGGTAGATCGTAGATGTGTTGGTGTAAATATATGGATGGTTTGCAACTTTCCCCTCGAACTATGGATTACTTTTAATTTAGGGCGTGTACTATGAAAATTGATAGATCGAAGTTAGATAACTCTACCGTATATATGTCTCTAAATCTTATATTTTTGTACTAACCGGTATCATACGATCCAAGTTCATTTTGCTTCTTATGTCCATATCTCATTTCATTCACTTTATTTGTTGTATCAAACCTCAATTCTCATGTCATGGGTTAACGTACACCTGCAATCCTAAACACACCATGACAAGAATGTCAAAAGAACATGGTGTTGTTTCAACTCACTTTCAAAATCTTGTTGGGTCCAAATTGTCTCGTCACTTGTAACTTGATTCTTCCGAACTATCTAGCCCTTAAAGAAATGAGTGGCATTTCTTTTAAGGGTAAATCACAAGACGATCCTCATTATGTAGCAGGATGTTTCGCTTATTTCCTCTCGGAAGCTCGTTGCCTCACATTTACTTTGTATGGCATTCGAGTTCCACCATGGCTTCATACAATTAATCACTCATAGCTTCTATCTAAATTTCATAATTTATGTGTCCTTCAACATTGTTGTTCGAGTACTCGAGTCTTCCATTCATCACTTTGTTAGTTTAACTTATCATGCATCATACTTTACTCGTTTCTATTTCTTGTCCATATCCTATGATTACACGACCAACTTTTATATCAATAGATTTCTTCGTCCTTTTTAGTTACTATCACGTGACATACAATGATATGAGTCAAAGTATTATTTCCTATATGAATTCACAAAATAATATCTCATTGTCATAAGTCTGTCGATTCTTTGTATGTTTGTCGAATACAGATTAGCAGTAATACACAAAATTAGTACTCAAATTGTACTTGAGTCTGCTCGGTCGCGTTATCAGTTTACACAACTTAGAAGCTCTAAATATTGTATCTTTGGTTCGTTTGTGTCACTCATAATTCCAAGCATCACAAGTTCTTGTTAATTAGCCTAAAGAATGGTGTGAGCTCTTTTACATTACATCCTCACATTTCTATATCCATCTTACCATCTACCTCTTAAAATAAATTAGGGAATTTCTTTTAAGGTAACCACCCTATGATTCTTATACTATAATAGTTAGCGTTTTCTAACACTTCCATGGATATTTCATATATATATATATATATATATATATATATATATATATATATATATATATATATATATATATATATATGTAAGTAATCCTTTACTCGTCATCGCCTTCTTAACAGTCCTTTTTAACAAACATCAGGTATTCATTATTGCCCATATCGTGTTAGTACTATAAAATATTTGATGTTCAATTTGCATTCTTCAATATTCCATCATGAGAAATCGTCGTCCTTGTAACGTCTGTGTTTCTGGACTTGTCATTAATAGCAATGTAGTAGTCTACGTTAACATTTGTAACCCATTTTGAAATAATAAGAATGTATTATTTGAGTATTATATGTTTTGTGTTTGGTTGTGTGGCTTAAATGAATTAAGAATAAAAAATAAGCGTCGAAATAAAATAGTAGATAAAGCCGATATCTTTGGATAATGTTGTAGTAGTTGAAACGAGGTTTCCAAATATATAAAGAAAGTCGAAATCCGAGTTATAACGAAGAAGTTATCATCTGTCGAAGCTTCGCGACAGAACCGGCACGACGCCGAATAACATAAAATACGAATATAAGATAGAACGATATCTAGCTTTAGTAATCTAAATGAAAGATGAAGAGTTCGTTAAACTGAGAGCATGCATAAAAAGAACGCCTACATCTGACTTCGTATGAGGAAATTATGATTTTATGAAGTTTCGACTTAGCAGTATGCAGCCCGAATACTCGATTTGAGATCGAGCGGTTTTTAGCCAAAACAATAAACGATAATCAAATATCTCGTTAAGAGTAGTGAAACGATAAAAAGATAGGCAAAAACGGACATCAGATGAAGAAGTTATGAATTTATAACGGAATCTTGTCCCGGCCTACTAAAAATAATATATAAGTAATATATTTTTATATCTTAAAAATAAAGTCAAAATTAGCAAACGGAGTCTAAACGAGAGTTGTAGATCATAATCTCACATACGCGTGCGAAAGTTATGAATTTCTGAAGTTCGGGGCGTGAACCCCAAAACTATGTCAGAGACCACAACGTGGCAACAGTGACCACGATGTGGCAGGACTTCTGACGCATTCTGGAGCCTGACAGAGCAAGTGGACGATGACGCATGCAGTGACGACCAAGCCCACGACGTGGAAAAAGGTGCTACGATGTGGCAAGGGCCGGTTTTGCCCTAGAAATATATTTGAAGGGCCAGCCGAGTTTGGTTGCTCATTCTCTCATCTCTCACCTGTATTGCATCGATTTACGTGCAAAGAAGTACCCTCGAAGCCCCGTTATCATCCCAAGACCCGAAACAAGTCCCAAAGCCCGAAGATCCCTAGAAGTGCAATTCCCGAGCCGAAGCTTTGCCCGCAAGGAGCCCGGTTTTTGTGAAGATCTTCCAGATCTACCGAAGAATACTACTTCTGCAAGTCGTAGTGTTGTCCGGTCATCTTTTGATCAAGTGAGTGTGTAGTTACCTTCTTCTAACGCATAATTATGAAGCATTTGATACGAAATACGTGTTATGTGTATATTTTGTGGATTATATGTGTGAATGTATATTCACTTTCTTCTATCTCATATATCTTATTTATTCTCTATGAAATACATGTTATGTGTGTGTGCCTCATCTGTTATGTGGAATATGTATTGATTGAACATGCTATACAAGTTTTAAACTATGTATAAAAATATATATTTTTATCTACTAATATGTTGGGTAGAACATGGGTAGATAGTTGATGTGTGATAAACAGATGAGAGGCCTCAATGTTGTCGTTGTTGATCTAGTTATTCAACGGAGTATGGATAACGACCACAGACTCTTTCTAAATAGTCTTGTGGAACGCTAGTAGGTTCATAACATGTAGGTGTTGTGAACGATGTGTTCACCGGTGTACTCTATCCCCCTCATGGTTGCCTTTAGGATATATATTGTTGAGGAAACCCCTTAGCAGTAATATCTGTCCCGATGAAATTCCTAGATTAGGTCCCTTGTAATAGATGTGGTTTTAGGGACGTAAAGTGAGGATAACGAGAATGGGTAATCGGGTTATTATTGGTTGGTGAAATTAAATATAATTATTTATTGTCGGTAGAAAACGTTATATGCTCACCAGGCTCCCAAGCCTGACCCACTCAGTTTATTTGTATTACAGGTAGTGGAGCGAGGGCATAAGATGGATGAGTCATCAAGTTGTTTTGTTTACAAGTCTGCATATGTATATATTTGTTGAATATCGTTTATGCTTTATGATATGTATTGGAACATGACATTCCGAGTTTTGATTATATAATGAAAATGCATCTCTTGATGAAATGCTTTGATAAATATTATTTTATCATATTTTGTTTTTGGAAACAAATTCCGCAACTCTTTTAAATCTAAAGGATTTACTCTGAAATTATTTTAAAAAGCATAAATGAAATCAGTCTCTTCTTGCCGAGATTTTGGGGATGTCACAGTCCTCCTTGGCCGATCCTAGAACATATTCTAGTTACCAGTCCTTCATCATCATGTTATCACATCCTGGAGTTTTATTTTCCATGTCGTCTGCATCACATTACTTGTGTAATCTTAACCTTTCATCACCATCCGTGGAACTTTTATGTAGGGCTTACAAAGTTCCCCCTGCTAAACTTTTCATCACGATATTCTAGTACCACAATGTTAGGTACTCTCATGGACTTATCACTGTCACTTTTAGTTTCCATTATTTGCATGCTTTGAGACAGTCTTCATATCGGTTGTCTTCCTTTCATGCTTGAGAAATACAATTATTCCTTCCTTGTAATGGCTTCACTCACCAGTCTAGCACATTAGGTTAATACATCATCGCTCGTCTTATACTAGTATATTGTTTTTGCAAGGATGCATTTCTTCCACGTATACCATCACACTCTATATTTGACATTATTGTCGTCTTGTCACCAGCTCCTTAGGGTCATAAAAATACCCCATTACATCTACAACACCATACTCATTCCCAAGTTGTATCAATCATGCTTTCTTGTACTATCTCGCTTTCATCATCATATCACAATTTTAAAAATTGGGTTATCGACTCACCTTCCAATGTCGTTAATCACATCACAACATTTCTTTCATCCAAGAATGGAATTCATGATTGCATTCCATTATTTTCATAACCAACTTGTTTTTTATTTGAAGTTCTCACCCTTATTTAATAACATAAGCTTGTCCCAAGTAACCAACTTCAACTAGTATCTTAATCATAAATTTAGAATTTCAAATTCTTATCCGATTTTAGACTTCTACTAAAAGTCAACTATGTCCCTTTTTAGTAACTTGTTTGTTAACAACTAAATAACTAAATTCACTTCATTCATTGGTGTTTATAATTCACTACTAATAGTACTTAAAAAAGTACAAACTCACTTTTGAGCATCTATCAAATGTACACCAAGAAAATTTCATTTTTATACTAGTTGGTTGACTTTGACAGAAAAGTCAAAGGTTACAAAAAAACTCCCATTATCCATTAATCATGTTTTAAACTCCTTAATGAATCTTATCTAACAC